CTGAAGCTGTTGTATCTTTACCTTGTAGTAGTCCCATTGAGGTTGATGATGGAGCATCCTTTTCCTTGTAGCTCACTGTCCTCAATCAAGCTCCTTGGTTTTGCTGATGAAGGTTGTTGACACGGCACCAAGATGTCAAGCCTCTAATCTCCTCTCTGTTGGCCATCTCATTGCCATTGGTGCCCCGGTGGATGACATCTTGTCATCAGCAAACTTGTCAATGTGTTGGAGCTGTGTGTGGCCACCAGTGTTGTGCTAGTTACTGAAAACCAGTAACTAGTTACCATTACTAGTTACTTCATGTCAAAAGCAACTCAGTTACTTTACTAGTTACTTACACCCAAAAGTAATGCGTTACTGTGAAAAGTAACGTTTTCGTTACTTTAATAAAATGTCTCCCATTAATGCCCTTATAGCCTTCATTTCAGTAGCCTACTGTTATTGCATTGGAGAATAACACAATCTGTTGATCAACTTGACATGCATTATATGCAATCTGGATTGCATCGATATTAGCTGGCTTTCCATTTTTGTATATTCTTTCTCCAGGTAGTTGGAAAAAGTTTTCCGTCCCATATGCCGTGTGCCGCCCGGACATGCTATCATGCTAACTAGCTCTCTGAAAGCGGGTGACTCCACTGTAGCAATAGCCTGCATGTGTTCTACAACATACCGTGCAATGGCTTTATCGACTTTTCCCTGGCCAGCAGTCCCTTGGTTAAAATCCAGCCGCCGTTGCTTAGGTGGAGGTGGAGTGGCGTCGGCTGAGTCTCTGTGGTCTTAGCTACTAGCTTCGTGCCAGCATGTTGTTTTTGCAGATGTTTTAAGAGATTTGAATGACTGGTTTGGGCAGTAGATAGGATCTTTGACCCGCCAGGACACAATTTACATTTAACAGAAACTTTATTTTCTTTGTGCTCGACAAAAGTGAAGTAGTGAGAATATCTCCAGGTGGAGAAACTAGACTTGAGCTCCGCCGCCGCCATGATAGTCTTGTTAGTAAACAACACAAACACGCCCACAGCCCGTCTCCGCATGTGACACAGGAAGTATCTAAGTACATTTACTCAAGTACTTAAGTACAGTTCTCATCTCTGTTCACCTGGCTGTTGACTATATAAAAAAACTAACGCAGTAACGCACCATGTAGTAACGGTAACTGCGTTACTGAATTACAAAAGTAATGCGTTAGAGTACTAGTTACTTGTAACGCGTTAGTCCCAACACTGGTGGCCACGCAGTCGTGTGTGAACATAGAGTACGGGAGAGGGCTGAGCAGGCAGCCCCGAGGGGCTCCAGTGTTGAGGGTTATAAGGTGGAGGATGTGGCCTGTCAGGGTCCAATCACAGAGGGAGGTGTGTGCAAGGTCTCTGAGCCTGATGGCAAGCTTAGAGGGCTTTGGTCAATGTGGTAGCAGGCAGGGCGACTTAACATACCGAAGTGGATAGGTCAGTGAGGGTGGAGGTAATAGAAGTTTGATCAACCAACTAAAGCACTCCATAATGGTGGAGGTGAGTGCTTCTGAGCAGTGGTCATTCAGGCAGAGAGTGGTGGACTTCTTGAAACATGTGGGGACTACAGACTGAAGCTGCCAGATGTTCTGCACACACCTCGGTCAGTGATGCCATCAGGTCCAGGTGCCCTGTGTAGAATAATCCTTTTGAAACATCTGCTCTGGATAGTATAAGTAGGCAGGAAGGTTAATTTGGGAGAGATAGGTCTTAGTCCAGACCACATGTTTCTGTTGATGGAGCTGTGCTGTCAGACTCCTTGTCCCTTAGAACATCTACAAGCTCTCTGGATTATGCACATGGATTTCCAAATGACTCTGTTTGTAGGAATCAGTTTGTGCTTTAACTTTGGAAAATACGTTCTCTGGTAATGTGAGGAGTGCCCGTAAAGGTAGCAGAATAGCTGTGGATGTGGGAAGGGGCCAATAGAAAATGCATAAGTACTAAAGTACGTATGTATGCATAAGGACAAACATTTTGTGCTATGACCTTTCTAACAATAAGAGTTAAAAAGATACAACTGGCTGAAATGATCAAATAAAAATACTGCTTGTATGTGTCAGGATGAAGGACAAGGGAAAGTCTGAAGAATATCACTCTATTCATTGTATTCTCTGGAGAACCTATGTTAATCTTGAATGTTGGAATAAACTGTCATCTTTATATGATTGGAATACAAACATTTGTCTATATCAAGCATATACAAATACACTGCACAAAAACAGGAACACTTTTTAATCAGAGAACAGTATTAAAGGTGGTAGGTAATTCACTTCAGAAACACTTTTTGTTATATTCTATGGGATGCTCTTAACATCCAGATAGCAATGAATACATTAAATGCTTTGACAATAAATACATTAAAAAATGTAATCTATGGAAGCCGTGGTGCTGTAAAAAGCACTACCAATTATCTTCCCCGGCCCGGCTCAGATCTGGGTGGCGATACCCCACGACACCATCTATCGCCTCATCGGAGCATGGTGGGGGTTATACACAGCACTGAGTACCATTTTGAGTTGCTGGAATGAAATTTCAACAAAATGGACTAGCCTGCCGCATCATTTTTCCACTTTGATTTTCGGGGTGTCATTGAATTCAGCCCTCTGTACTGTAGGTTGATCATTTTAATTTCCATCAAATTATGTAGCATTATTTTGTTCCTAACACATTACCCAGTCCAAATCAGTTGATATCCATCATCATTTATTTTCCCATTGAGATCTGATGTGTTTTCAAAGTGTTCCTTTCATTTATTTTTTGTTAAATCATGTGAAAATAATGTGTCAAGCTGCGTGTTGGCTGTGCTTGTCCTTAACCTTGGACATGTGAAGGAGGCCCAAGATACTGAAATTAAGAGCTGTGGATGCATTGAAGAACTTTTGGTTTCACATTGGGGGAAATTCCTATTTGATTCCTGATGTGTCATTATTAGAGAGATAGAATATTGTGAAGAATATTCTTTTATTTTGGCATCTTTTGCAACAACTATTGATGGCTCCCATAAGGACAATTGGAATAAGAAATAGAAGGCTAGATGTCATCTTCATATCACTGATGAATGCAACAACAACAAAAGACTATATAACACAAATACAAAGGACCCCAGTGTATAAATACATACTGTACTGTATATCATTTATATACATAAAACATCATTTAAGATTACTCTTTGATTTATCCAATCTAATAATTAAACATTCCACATCAAGGATTATTTCTGAAACAGTATGGAGCTCAAACTCTTTTTCTCCTTTTGATTTCCTGCTTCTTTACACATACTCTGTCCAGTACAGGTTAGCTCTGAGTGTTAGTGATGCTTGCTAATGTAAACACAGACCATATTACGTCCAAAACAGTCGGGCATTGTTTCTGATAGCAACGTTTCTGATAGTGCCGTGGGTCCGCATTTCAGATATTACGTCATATTGGCAGCAAATCTGGATCAGCTCTGTTGTAGCCCCGTTTTTAGAGATTTGGGTACGGATGAAAAGAGAGGGTTTTATTTTCTGACACTTTGTGAGTTCCCTGACACATATTTGTGTATGAAATACATAAAAAAGTGCATTTTACATGATAGGAGACCTTTAAATCATGTAAAAATATTATGCCAAGAACCCAGTTAGCTCATGGTGTCACAGTATCTACAGTATCAACAGTGTTATTCAAAGGTTATGTAAAATACAAAAAAAAACTGTGTTTGGAATGGGAAAGTTTGATATATAAAGCATATAATAATGATTATAATAAAACACATTATTATATATAATATGTAGGTATATAATATTTTTTGATCTCTTAATCTATGCTTTGTGTCCGTCCCTTCACACAGGTACGCCCACAGGGCCCCATTCTGATGGCCATTTTGGCTGCACTGGTTAGCTGTTCGAGGCTGGTGACAGCAGAGGGTGAAGTGAATAGTCAAAACAACTATTTGTATGAAAAGATAAGAGTCTCTGGTAAATATAAATGAAATTGTTGGGTGATTGGACTATTTATTAAAAAAAATTACAGAAAGTAAACATACCTTTTGCATTTGAAATGTCCTATTCCATTTGCGCCAATGATTTATGTGTGTTTAAGTGTTAATATTACAAAGATGGTAAAAGGTATTGATATAATCTTTGCTTTATTGTATGCCTTGCCTCTCTGTGAACATTTAGGCCACATTTGGTGACATCCTGAACCTTATTTCCAGAGATACATGGGATAAGGCCAACACGGCCCCCTTCAGAGGAGCCTACATTTTCACTATTTTCGGTTATGGTAAAGTTCCAAACATTAACCAAAAAAGAATAATGTTGCAGTAAAATATTTTTATACAACAATCCGTTTAATAAACTAGACATATTCAAGTAATGGAAAAACATGGTTGTGCTTTGTTCTACCTTGGGTAAGGGTATCTCGATAACTAAAGCCATTTTTGGGGGTTTGTTCCTGTATGTCCTTTATAATATGTTGCATTGTTGGAGGTGTTTGGAACCTAAGATTTCCATTGCCATAACTACACTGTAGCTACTGTGCATATGACAATAAAACCCTTTAATACTTGATCTTTGTAGGGCATACTATAATATATTACTTAATTAATAAATTAATATAGGCTATGTTTGTTCTAGTTGAATTTAATTTTAAGACATAACATATACTTGTATAATCAATACTATTTGTATAGCCCCCGATTAAGGTATTACATTTTTCATTATGTTAAGATACCTTTTTTGTTTTTATGATTATTGTTTACATTTATATTACACAGGAGTTTTTAATTGTGTAAGAATGTTTATGACCTCACTATATCCTCCAATAACTGCAAATACACTTTTGGGTTCAGCTTTAATCATTATAATAATGATATGGCCTTGAAGGTAAAGCCTCGAGTTAACGTGCATATTGTCATGGTTAATAATAATGAACTAAACCACCAAACTCAGGTGTGTGTGTGTGTGTGTGTGTGTGTCTCTTGTCTTTACAGTATGGAGAGGCTCACTGATGCTGTTCAGTGTTCACTCCACCAGCTAGCATCAGCTACGCCTACGGGCAAGCTGCTGTTAGCATTTACGAGCTTGCCTTTTTACAACAACACATGCATTGGTACTTCGTATATGGAGTTTGCAAACTATAATGCTGGTCTGCAAATATCCAGTGACTTCCCCTATCCAAGCAAAAAGCCCGACATATCGACATATCTAAGGTAAAGTAACTAAGCTAACATGTACTGCTAGCTAGTTAACGTGTTTAGCTAACAAGTGACCGTTGGTTAGCTAGTTAACACGGAATGAACACAGTGTTACTAATGCTGTCCTCCACCAGACTCCATGATAATAATACTGTTTTTAGGACAGCTGTTTATCTGACGGCCCATGTTAACCAAGGTAGTGCTTCTTAGCTAACATTAGCTAGCTAGTAGTAGTTATCATCAAGTGGAATTAACTTCTTATCAAACTAAATACAGTTGGGATTGGACGTTTGATAATATCGAAAGGTAAACGGTTTAACGTTAATTGTTACGGTCAGTTTTAGGGGGCATTTTGTATTTGATTTAAGTCACTATAAATGACTATCCTGGCAAAATAGTTAAAAAGTACTTTGTGTTGATCAGGTATTAATAAGTCCATGCTTCATCTTTACATTCCTTGTCTTATGCCCTAACTGAAGTGTCACCGTTATTGTATTCCCTTGTTTAGTTTTCTCTTGGGTCTGCATTATCTACATTCATGGCCTCTCTGTTGTGTTGTGATATTGGCTCAACCAAGATGTGTTGTCAACACATACTCTACTTACAACTCTTTGATACAAGTTCTTCAAATAATCTGCCCAACTAAACTTCATGAATGCAACATAAGGACATAGTAGTCAAAGCAGCAGAAGGAAGTACAAGAACAGATCATCAGCTACGTTATCTTAAAACTAAAAATACATATTTACACTCATGCACATCTAATGGATACAAGACAAAACCAAAAAAGGTACAAAGCACAGGTTTTTAGAGGGCATAGGCACCATATATTTTAAATAAACCCAAACTTTTTCAATTAGTAATGTTTAAATATTCTCTTTCTTAGTGGTGTGTGAGCATGGATCCGACCTGCAGTGCCTCTACGGCCCCAGCTGGTCTGACGGTGCAGGTGTGTTTCCCCGGGGCCCGAGCTGCTGTTCTAGACAATCTGAACCGGCAGCGGGAGGAGGGCCGGCTGTGTGACCTCTCCATCCAGGTGCAGGGCCACGTGTTCAGAGCCCACCGCTGTGTGCTGGCTGCCTCCTCGCCTTACTTTCATGACCAGGTACACCATGCTACACTGCAATATATTGTGTCTACAGATACTCTTTTAAATCAGCACAGCTCTCCACTAAATACAGTATATAGTATTTGTCATGTGTTAATATTGTTCATTTATTATAATAATAATTATATAATAGTCTTAATCGTTTTTTTAAACAGCTGTCACAACAGTCCTTTTTTGTTGTTTTTTGTTTTGCTACGTATTCTTCTGTGAAGCTGACCGTTGAGCGGCCCGACCAAGCAAGGAGGCAGAGTTCAAATATAACCCGGTGTGGTGGGCATTTATTTCTCATGTGCACATAGTCACCAGCCTCAATATGACTGTCCTCCCTGAACACAGTCAGCAGCAGTGGTTGGGTCAGACTTTTTCGTTGTCCGTCATTGTGACGGACAGGATCGTAACATTTCCGTCATAATCCATTATTACCCGTCATTTTATTTGATAAAAGTTTTTAAAGAGTTTTAATGATGAGATGAGACATGTTTAATATTTATGTTTGGGTACTGAGCATTCATTCATTTTTTTTAATGATTCATACAGAACTTTTAAGGGCATGGAGAAAAAAAAAGATGAACAGAGACACCGACCGTGTGGTCACTTTTCATGTCAACACGAACATGAATGATTTATTTGTTCCTGCACTGACAGCACAGCAGAGGGGGGCAGAGGCCGCTAAAAACACAGCGACCATTGTGCCTAAACAGGCAATTATGAACAATGCCTTCGTTTTAAATGAGACAATTACAATCAAAATATGAACAAAACATTTACAAGAACAACTCAATTGACCTGCTGTAGCCTGAACGCTGATTTCTGCATCGTTGTGCACCCTCGGACAAATCCGTTACTCATCTTAGCTTTTCTACAGATGTCGCAGAACATTTTGCCATCTTCCCTCCTCTGCCACTTAAACTCTTGCTCCCACTGAACCCGGTACTCCCGCTTGAATTCCTTGCCACTTGCTTGACCCTCTGCCGCTGGCTGAACGTTGTCAGTTTTAGTCTTAATGGCTTGTCCTTCATCCTCCACCGCATCAATCCCTCTTTTTTCACCTCGTTTATCCACACCATCACAATTACTGGGCTTATTAAAAAAGTTGCGATTGCTAAAGCCGGTTAGACAACGAGGTAATCAACAAGGTCAAAAACTAGACTAGACAATAACTACTTAATATACACACACTCGCCACCAACTGGACAGGTGTGTGAATGACTAAATAGTAATAGTTACAGAGTACAGTAGAGTACAGTAGATCGCCCTCAGTCTACCTGGCCACTAAGGATGTAATATAATGTGGGCCGCTGGTGGACATTTTGGCGCTGTTCCGAGTTGTGTTCTAATCTGTCAAGATGACAGACTGCTTTCAGATTTTTCCGTCATTGTTAGAAAAAATCCGTCATTGACGGAAAATATTCGGTTAACGCGACCTCTGGTCAGCAGCCACAATGATCTCACACACACTACCAGCCACACAGACAGGGAAACAGAGCCTAAATACCCACACACTAATCAGCAATTAGACACAGGTGGGGGGGGAGGAGACAACACAGGGCACCAGGTGAACATAATCAGGAGTAACAGACATGGGGAAAGGGAAACACTTTTCAAAATAAAACCACATGTGCAATAGTACAAGGCCCGAAGCCGTCAGTCCATAGTGACGAAGTTACCTTCGTCACATCTTCTTTCTGTATCTTTGTATGCACCACATATACCAGTGCTTCTCAAAGTGTGGTCCACGGCCCACTGGTGGTCCGTGAGCGCCCCCTAGTGGTCCGTGAGTTTATTGGTAAAATTTCACATTTGAAATAAATAAATACATTTAAGTTTTCCGCACGGAAATATCTCCGCAATGGAGCGAGGTGAAGTTTCACTTTCAATTGCATGATATAGCCCAGTGCAACACCTTCATCACACATGTCGCCACTTGTTTGTACCATTTTCAGGCGATTTGTAATCTGTTCTAGAAAAAATATGTGTTTTTTTATATTTGTGGAGTTAGGTGGTCCACGAGTGTTTTTTTATTGGTTAAGTGGTCCTTGGTATGAAAAAGTTTGAGAAACCCTGACATATACCAAAGCAAATTCCTCAGATGTGTAAACCTAATTGGTAATAAAACCGAATCAGATTCTGATTCATCCAGCTATAATAATGTATTGGTTTTTACTCTGTTTATTGAAGAAGAATCCACTACCTTTACTGAAATAAAAATATAAATACCACACTGTTAAAATACCCCACTTCAAGTTAAAGTCTTGCATTGAACTATAAGAAAGTAAGAATTATCAGTATACTGTACTTAAAGGTGGGGTAGGTAAGTTTGAGAAACCGGCTCGAGATACACTTTTTGTTATATTCCATGGAATGCTCTTAACATCCCGATAGCAATGAATATCTTAAGTGCTTTGACAACAAATCCATAAAAAATGTCATCTGTGGAAGCCGTAGTACTGTAAAAAGCACGACCAATCATCTGAGCCGGCCCGGCTAAAGTAACTGGATGGCCTACCTGCCTGTCAGCCTTCCATCTGTGCACAAACTTATCTCGTGCCCTCATTGGTCATGTGGCGTTCCTGTGTGTTGGAGGAGGGGCTCTGTGAGGAAGTGGCAGATTTGTTCCGGTTGTGTATTTTCAAATTCTAGCGCACTCGAGCTGGTTTCTCCAAAATGACCTACCCCACCTTTAAAGAGTGATAAGTAATTAATATGTTCAGTCAATTTATCCATGTCGTTGTCATATCTTTCTCATATTATGTTTTTGGATTATATTACAAATAACTACTGCTGTAGATGTTTGTTGTGGTGCCCATATTTTAATCAGAATCGGAATTCCTTTATTCGTCCAACAGAGGGGGAATTTAGAGTACACATTCAGGGGAAAATAAGTAAGCAGTATTTATACAATTTTTAAATAGTGTAACATTGTAGAATACTGTAGAATCGCTTCCTAGCTGATCCAAGAGGATTTTATGTAGTCTATTTAGCTTCTCAAGTAGAATATCTTCTTAAGCCATAAAGGAACACTTCATCCTTTTACATTCAACACCATTTTGTACAGGAAGGGTGTGAAAAATTGCAATCAGTGAACAAAAAAAGCTTTACCTTATTTCCCTCAGAGTTTAGTAATAAGTAAAAGTATAAAGTCGCACTCAGTTGAAATACTCAAGTTTTACAAGGACAGTACTTTAAGTACAGATATGTGGTCACATTCCACTACTGTTTCTCCTCATCCCATTTATCTAGCTTTTATCAGTGCTTTTGTGTCTGTTGCTTGTTTATGGGTTTGTATACAAGTGCTTTTAATAATTCATGTGCTGTAATTGCTCCTCAATTGTGGTTGTGTGTGTAATGGTGTTCTTGGGTTTTGGTCTTGGAATTATGGTGCTGCTTTTTTCATGGGTTATTTCTGTTATTTTATGGCTATATCTCCCACATGTACATCATAAACTCATGTGCTCATGTTAATGAATGTGCACTGTCCCTTCTTCAATTAATAAAAAATGTCTGTCTGGATGCCCAAATCTCAGCATGTCTTATCTCTGTCTCTCAGGTGTTGCTGAAGAATGTCACCACGGTCTCCCTCCCCTCAGTGATGGACCCGGTGGCCTTTGAGAGCGTCCTGAGCTCTGCCTACACGGGGCAGCTGAGCATCGTGCACGATGATATAGTTAACTACGTCACCGTGGCCAGTTTCCTACAGATGTGGCACATTGTGGACAAATGCACAGAGATCCTGAAGAGGCCCCGTCCTCCAGTGGAAGCCCCCTCTGGAGAGGCTGCTGTGGCTCACCCCGGCACAGCGTCTCGCCAGCAGTCCCCCAGTAGCACCGACTGCTTATATCTGGAGAGGGAGGGAAGAAAGAAGGAGAGAAAGCCTGATGCCTTGCCTCCTTTAGCCACATGGAGACGCCCGCAGCAGTTTCCTAGATGGGGTCGACCGCGGCCCTCCTCAGCCCAGCACTTAGCCGACTCTCAGCTGGACACTCTGCCCGGCTACACAGAGAGTGATTACACCAGCTGTGAGGAGGCGTGGGTAACAAGCCATGCTAAAACCAGCCACTTTGCTCATGATGGAGCGGGCCACAATAGCCGTTGCTATGGGGGCTTCCCCGGTGGTGAGGCTTTAAAGCAGAAAGTCAGGTTTCAGCAGCGGGGACCATTGCCCAGCACTGAGAGACTGCCTGAGAAGATTAGAGAGAGCGCTGACTGTGATGAGACACCAGAGAAGAAGAGGAAGGACAGAAGAGAGATTGAGGCAGATGAGGGAGTTGGAGAAGTGGAGGTGGAGAAGAAGGGAAGCTTTGCCCAAATGGGACACTGCGGTAAGATCTAAGAGCCTTATTCTACTTGGCACAAATATATTCCTATGTTTGACTTAATGGACTAAATCTATTAAAATGTATGTTAATAGATTTGGTTTTACCGTACTATGGGTTTCCGTAGATTCTAAATAAAAGTCTTATAAGGCAATGAACTTATTAAACTGTAAAAAAAAAAAAAAATTGGCAGTAAAATGATTAGTCTTAAAAGATGTATATGTTGTAGATAAGGTAATGATGTATCTTGTATTGCTCTGTTAAGCACTTTGGACTGCATCTTGCATGATAAGTGCTATATAAATAAAGGTGGGCAGGTAGGGCTGCCCAATTAATCAAAATGATATGAAATGGCAATATGGAGTAGTCCAATGTTCAAATTGCAGAAGACCCAATATTAAAATATCAGTTTCAATAAAGTACAAGTATAAAAATGTGAAATCTTTTCCTGTGCAGTCCTACAAACAAGCATATTTGGTCCATAACATTAACATATTACTTCTCCTTGTTGTGCATGGATTTAATGTGATGTTCCATTTCCCCAACAGACTTCCACTCAATTTCAAATGAGAATTTAGGCTGTGGTCCGGCCGCAGGAAAAGTGATTTTGGAGGAGACCAGGGGGAAAGTTCAGAGGAATGTTCCCAGTGTTCATGACTGCCAAACGGGTGAGGCAGCTCCGGGCACTTCCTGTCCAGCTTCAGCCCGGCTGCAGTGGCAGACAGCGCCTTGGTCCCAGCCAGAGCAGAGGCCGCAGGAGGGGGGGGGCTGCAGTAAAGGTCAGGAGGATGAGGAGGAGGAGGATGTGGACTTTGGATGCTTCACAGAAGGGGCATTCAGCAGGGACACATACGATGAGATTGAAGACTGCACGGGACAGGTTTCCCAGAGGCCTCTAGTGCCGGTGTCTCCTGACTTCACCACGGCAGGAACAGAAGTGAACTGGCCCTCCACCAGCGTGGGACAGGGCAGCTCATTGACCCCCACTTCAAGTCGCCAAGTGTCTCTCCCCTCTGCCACATTGCCGCCACCCTCCTCACCCCCGACCCCCTCTTCATCCTCCTCAGTGTCGCTCGCTGGTGCCCCCTACATCGGCAAAGTCCACTTCTGCCACTGTGGCAAAGCCTACACCCTGAAGAGCATGCGCGACCGCCACGTGAAGATGCAGCACCTCAACCTGCGGCCCTTCGGATGTCCTGTTTGCACAAAGTCCTTCAAGATGAAGCACCATCTAACCAAGCACCTTAAGACTCACGGGGGGCTGCGGCCCTATGAGTGCGGCCTGTGTGGGAAGAAGGTCATCTGGAGGGACAGCTTCCTCCGGCATCAGGCCCGGTGCGAGAGACTGGCCTCCAGCTCCTCGGCTAACAGCAACAACGCTAGCACAGCCGCAGCAGGGATGGCTGACAGCTACAGTTACGGATTTGAAGACGGGGGGGCTTTTCTTGCAGCAGGAGGACAGGTGAAAGTGGAGCAGGCAGATTTTCACGGGGAGATGGAGGGCGGGATGCAGGGCCTGCTGGGCAGCGTGTCGGGGATTGTGGATGAGTTAAGAACTCAGTCTCAACATTTGGACACAGGTAGTCATGTTTTTAAAGAGGAGGCGAGTGAGAGCTTTGGCGCAAATTAGTAACCTAAATGTGAAACTGTTTATAAATAAATTCAAGGAAGTTATATGATGACTTTAAATGTCACAAAGGCTACGGATGCCTTAAACAGCTATTGTTTAAATATTAAATTGTCTCTGTTTCCCCATAATAACAAAACGTTTTTTTCTTTTTTCACTCCTGCTGTTAGTATACATCTGTGTTGTGAATGTACTTCGAGAGCCCAATTTAAAATAGTTTGCGTTTTGCACATACATTATTTATATTTTTTAATTGTAATTGATCTTCATTAAAAAATAGAAGCAAGGGTCTAAAAATGTGTTTTAGGCCATATTGATGTCTCTTCTCATTATGTAAAGACAAATACATCTTGATTTATATGATAATTAAAACTTTGGATTTTTCTGGTTGATAATGGAATGTTGCGATTTATATTAGACTCATTCTAAAACAATTTGGTTCATTTCAGCTCCTCTGCAGCACATCAGTGGAGCACCAGAGGTCGCTCTTGCTCAACGATACTCAACCCTTCTGTTATCATATTGTGGAAAAGGAAGAGCTCGGTTTAAAGAAGCCTCCTCCATTAGGGTTAAAAAAGACTCCGAGACATGACGAGAAAATGAGTGAGGCTATTATTTAATGTATTCAGGGGGACAGCTACAGATCTCCATTTCAATAGCAAACATGAGGTTTTGATAATCAAAGAGCAACTGCACAACAAGGAACAAAGGTTTTGCTGTATGGCACTATAAGCAGCCATATATGTGTTGCTATCAAAATAAGGTAATATGGGTTTAACGAACGTTAATGTGAATCCTGAAATGCGTCAAACACAGGAAAATTGCCCGATGTGGATTTGGCAAATTATGGCAGGAACAATACATGCAGGAGAGATGGAGCTCTGTGCAGACTGGCCGTTGTCCTTGAACACTTCTATCGCAGCATTATTTATAATGATGTGAAACCTTTTTTTTTTTCCTCTCCACATAATCCGTTTTCAGTGATCAATTAACTGTAGAACGAAATGTAGCGCTTGTGGAATTAGATCTTGTTTTCTGGATTTATATATTGCGATTACTGTCTGAGAGATGATTGCCCCCGAGAGGATACCTCAAGAGGGTGAGAGTTCCGTTTTTATAGACCCTGGGTTGAGTTTGGAGCTAATACACTACTTTATCCACTTCCCCTCATTGCTTTTCAGCCAGAAGCTGGTTAAGACGTGATTGCATTTGCAGCCTTTGCTATCATCATGGTTACAAACAGCAGGGTATTATAAATAGGGTTGATATAGTTGTAATACCTGCAACAAATATATTACAGGAGAAAGGAAATACAGAAAAGCTGCCGTCGCAGGAAAGACGGCCGGCAAAAATCACCGACTGTGTGAACGTGAACATTAATAGAATATCACCTCCATCTTCAGAGCAATCTGACTATTATAACATTAGCGTTAAGAAAGCTTACTGAAATATCTGCCACAACATTGTAATAGTCCTTTATACTATATAGTTGACCGCAGGTCATGGAGAGTAATAAGGTATCCGTAGACCTTTGTATGAGGTATCTTTATTACTTAACAGGTCTACAGCCATGATACATAGATGCGGGCTTGCATACACACAGTATCACTCCGCAGCCGCACCCCATCAGTAACGTCCTGATGGTATTAGTGTTGTCACGATACCAACATTTTGGTTTCGATACCGATACCAAGTCAAGAATTGCGATTCCGATTCTTTTTCGATACTTTTCTTAAAAAAAGGGAAACAATCTTAAATGTAATTATTGTACTTTATTTCACACCAGAACCAGAACCATAACACAAACTTTTAAACAATGAAAACAATAAACAAAATAAATGATAAGAATTCGTATTAAATAAAATTCAGCATCATCTCAAACAACTTTTTTATTTTATAAAATATAATTGTTTTAATATTTTATTAACATGTAATAGTACAGTAATATAAATAATTATTAACAAAATATATATTGCAGATGTTAGCCACATTGGTAAGTTAGCTAAAAAGATAGCCATATTAGACAGTTATCATTGCCATTAATTGCCTCGTTTGTCACAAAATAAATTACACTGGTTTGACTTAGATTTGAGGGCATGGGCTTGAGCATGATGTAATTATGTTATCTATCACATTCGCTAACCTGTCTGGATGCCGGTTGGCGAGGTGCTTAGCCAAGTTTAATGTGTTGGCTCCCTTGGTTTGCAGGGATCTAAAACATGTCTTACAGACAGGCCTCGTGGTGTCCGTAGGCTTGCCATCACTGTCAGAGATATAGCTCAAATACTTCCAAATTTCGCTTCTGGTGTCTTTTTTGTCAACAAGCCGAGGCGCAGCGGCAGTTGCACTCCCACTTGCAGCCATGCTTCTCGTTTTCTCACATACTCTGGCAACTAGCGCGTGGCCAAGTGCACGAGAGAGGGGAGGGACTTAGAACGTGCTTGAGAGGGGCGGGACTGCAGGCACGGCTGCAGTGCAGGGAGTGGAAGCAGAGCGCTGAACACACACGGCTCTTTATTAAAACGGCGCTTTCTCACCGGAGTACTTTTCCCCGTCATTCTTAAAGTACCGATACTAATGAAACGGAGGAATCATACCGTTTGTAACGGCAGGGTATCGCGGTACCCAGGGCCGCCCCTCCCTACAGGCCAATCACGCAGGCTGCATGGGGCCCCGCCTTGCGCAGGGGGCCCCGCCCAGAGGGCCTCAGCTGCTGTGCGCAGTTCTCCGCGCACCCCCGGCTGACACGCGAGAGTGAGAGGTGACAAGGGGAGCACGTCTGTAACCCGACACCGTTGCAATGAATCGACATCTGACCAATAACGGCTTTGATACGGCCACTAGTGCAGGTGAAGAGATGTCGGTGAAAAGACAGTAGGCTTGTTTGAGACGCGTTGCGGCTCGCCTCGAAAGTAGACGAGAATAGCCGATCGCAGCCGGGGGAGGTCTCAAAAAGCTCGCCTGGAGTCGGACAGCTACGGAGTCGTCTTCTTCTCTTCTCTTCTTCTTCTTTCTTCTTCTTCTCTCTGCTTCTTCTTCTTCTTCTCTTCTTCTTCTTTCTTCTTCTTATTATTCTTCTTCTTCTTCTTCTTCTTTCTTCTTCTCTTCTTCTTCTTCTTTCTTCTTCTTTCTTCTTCTTCTTCTTCTTCTTCTTCTTCTTCTTCTTCTCTCGGTTATTTGGCGGATTGCAAACAGCTTGAAGGTGCATACCGCCACCTCCGGAGTCGGCTTGACTCTGTTTGCATTTATAAAGAATGCACACATGTGTTTAATCGTTAATGTCAGATATGTACTAAGTAAATACATTTGTTCCTGCTCAAGATTAGATTCTACTTCATTGCTATTGCACATATTACAGGTACTGAGACACCAAAATGCAGTTTAGCTTCTAGCCAGGTGCAACAAGCAATAAAGTGAAAAGTAATGTACACAATAGACAGAATAAAATATAGAATGAATTGAATGATGAATAAACAGTGAGGGGTATGAATACACTAGATATCAGCCTGTGAGCAGTATGAACAGTGTGTATGAATATGCTAAGATATATAAAGTATGAAAACGGTAAGCAGTGCAAGTATAGTATAAACATATAGATATTAATTTCATGATGATAAACATTGTGGAACAATGATGAACAATTTGAATGGAAGTGGCGACGTAAAACTGACACAAAACAACAACAAACTTTTGCCGAGCCAATTGGAGAGTTTCATCAGCAGCACGTGGAAAAAACCACCAATGAGCGCTTAGCTCGAGATACCAGCGAGTCGTTTCCCATCAAGCATTTAGCTTCCGCAGCCCGTGGAGAGGAACTGCGCCGCCGCGCCTCGCTATCAAGGCTGCGGGCGTCTTTGTCCCGCGAGATTTCAACGTCTCATGTAGGTGAGCCTCCAGAGCAAGTCGAACAAAAATGACTAACCATCATGCAACGCACGAGCAAGACGTTGATCAAAATTGCGCAGGTCTCGCTTGTCTCAAACAAGCCTAGTTTCAGTCCGGCGCAAGCTAGAGGGGAAACAAACAAAACTTGAAGAAACAAGAGCATCACTCGAAGGTGGGTTATTGTCAAATGTACAACTTGCGAATGTTGTATAAGTCAAATTGCCAATTGCCATATTAAAACAGCAGCTGCAATTCACGACATGAAGAAGGCAGTCTCTGCATAGCATATAGGCCATGGGTCGGCAACAGGCGGCCCGCGGGCCATTGTTGGCCCGCCAGCAATAATATTTGGCCCGTAATTTTGAGAATCAAAAATAAAATATATATATTTTTTTTTACAACATAGGACCAGAGAGTCGCACACATGGCAAATGTGTGGTTGTGGGGAACCAGGTCAATTAAAGTACTTATTTAACTATTAAATACATTGAGTTTGAGTAAAATACTTGGTTACTGATTAATTTAGGTTATAATATATTAAATTGCAAAGCAAAACATGCTGTAATTGATTTATTTTGTCCTTTGATATTTTTTAAAGGTTTTCAACCTGAAAGAATCCTAATGTGTCCTTGAAAAGTTGAAATAAAGAAAAGGAAAAAGGATTCTCTGTTGCCCCTCAAGCCTCTCAAATGTGGGCAAACACTCAAATAAATGCCAAAAACCCAGAGAACTTGACAATACTTATCAGAATATGTTAAATACGGTAACACTGCTACCTAGTTAATAACTCTACTTTACTCAGTGGAGGCTCGTCCATCGAGGAAAGGGAGGACCATCCTCCCTAAAATCTCAGAGAAAAATCAACTTTGAAGAGAACAATAACTACACCTCAATTTAAAAGATAAGTCTGTTAAAATACAGATAATAGCCCTGGCTTTGGGACTGAAATGGGGCTAGAGAGGACGAGCCTCCCTTTGGGCAGGTCTAGCCAGAGGCTCTGGATTGGGTGCCTATTGAACCAATCAGCGGATCTGACTGCGCATCAGAGTGTTGATGGGGACGGTTATCAGCGATATCAGCGTTCTTTCTGAACCGAGGAACAGGGGCGCTGCGCCCTCTTACCAAAATAAATTCCTTGAATTAGGCTTTGATTATGTTCTGGCCCGCCATCTTGTGGCTCAGCAAAAAATTGGCCCAAGGCCAAACTTACTTGCCTACCCCTGATATAGGCTAATGGAGATGCAGGATTTGGAGGTGCTGATCCTCATCCAAGCCGCTTCACACTCGGTTGCGAACCGATCCAGTGAGTGCTGAAGGTCGCAGACCGATGAAGCCATTAGAACCACATCATCTGCAAAAAGCAGTGGTGCAATCCTTAGTCCACCGAACTGCAGACCCCCTCCCCCATGACTACGCCTCGAAATCCGA